CAGTAGCAGCAGCAGTAGTAGCAGTAGCAGTAGTAACAGCAGTAGCAGTAGCAGTAGTAGTAGTAGTAGCAGTAGTAGCAGTAGCAGTAGCAGTAGTAGCAGTAGTAGTAGTAGTAGTAGCAGTAGTAGCAGTAGTAGCAGTAGTAGAAGTAGCAGTAGCAGTAGTAGCAGTAGTAGTAGTAGTAGTAGCAGTAGTAGCAGTAGTAGCAGTAGTAGAAGTAGCAGTAGCAGCAGTAGCAGTATCAGTAGCAGCAGTAGCAGTATCAGTAACAGCAGTAGCAGTAGTAGCAGTAGTAGTAGCAGTAGTAGCAGTAGCAGTATCAGTAGCAGCAGTAGTAGCAGTAGTAGCAGTAGTAGCAGTAGTAGCAGTAGTCGCAGTAGTAGCAGTAGCAGTAGCAGCAGTAGCAGTATCAGTAGCAGCAGTAGCAGTATCAGTAGCAGCAGTAGCAGTGAGTTAGGGTTAGTAAGTTAGTGTTAGTAAGTTAGTGTTAGTGAGTTAGGGTTAGTGAGTTAGGGTTAGTTAGTTAGGGTTAGAGTTAGTGAGTTAGTGAGTTAGGGTTAGAGTTAGTGAGTTAGTGAGTTAGGGTTAGTGAGTTAGTGTTAGTGAGTTAGTGTTAGTGAGTTAGTGTTAGTGAGTTAGGGTTAGTGAGTTAGGGTTAGAGTTAGTGAGTTAGTGTTAGTGAGTTAGTGTTAGTGAATTAGGGTTATTGAGTCAGGGTTAGTGAGTTAGGGTTAGTGAGTTAGGGTTAGTGAGTTAGGGTTGGTGAGTTAGGGTTAGTGAGTTAGGGTTAGAGTTAGTGAGTTAGTGAGTTAGGGTTAGTGAGTTAGTGTTAGTGAGTTAGTGTTAGTGAGTTAGTGTTAGTGAGTTAGGGTTAGTGAGTTAGGGTTAGAGTTAGTGAGTTAGTGTTAGTGAGTTAGTGTTAGTGAATTAGGGTTATTGAGTCAGGGTTAGTGAGTTAGGGTTAGTGAGTTAGGGTTAGTGAGTTAGGGTTGGTGAGTTAGGGTTGGTGAGTTAGGGTTAGTGAGTTAGGGTTAGAGTTAGTGAGTTAGTGAGTTAGGGTTAGTGAGTTAGTGTTAGTGAGTTAGTGTTAGTGAGTTAGTGTTAGTGAGTTAGGGTTAGTGAGTTAGGGTTAGAGTTAGTGAGTTAGTGTTAGTGAGTTAGTGTTAGTGAATTAGGGTTATTGAGTCAGGGTTAGTGAGTTAGGGTTAGTGAGTTAGGGTTAGTGAGTTAGGGTTGGTGAGTTAGGGTTGGTGAGTTAGGGTTAGTGAGTTAGGGTTAGAGTTAGTGAGTTAGTGAGTTAGGGTTAGTGAGTTAGTGTTAGTGAGTTAGTGTTAGTGAGTTAGGGTTAGTGAGTTAGTGTTAGTGAGTTAGTGTTAGTGAGTTAGTGTTAGTGAGTTAGTGTTAGTGAGTTAGTGTTAGTGAGTTAGGGTTAGTGAGTTAGGGTTAGAGTTAGTGAGTTAGGGTTAGTGAGTTAGTGTTAGTGAGTTAGTGTTAGTGAATTAGGGTTATTGAGTTAGGGTTGGTGAGTTAGGGTTGGTGAGTTAGGGTTAGTGCGTTAGGGTTAGAGTTAGTGAGTTAGTGAGTTAGGGTTAGTGAGTTAGTGTTAGTGAGTTAGTGTTAGTGAGTTAGTGTTAGTGAGTTAGGGTTAGTGAGTTAGGGTTAGAGTTAGTGAGTTAGGGTTAGTGAGTTAGTGTTAGTGAGTTAGTGTTAGTGAATTAGGGTTATTGAGTCAGGGTTAGTGAGTTAGGGTTAGTGAGTTAGGGTTAGTGAGTTAGGGTTGGTGAGTTAGGGTTGGTGAGTTAGGGTTAGTGAGTTAGGGTTAGAGTTAGTGAGTTAGTGAGTTAGGGTTAGTGAGTTAGTGTTAGTGAGTTAGTGTTAGTGAGTTAGTGTTAGTGAGTTAGGGTTAGTGAGTTAGTGTTAGTGAGTTAGTGTTAGTGAGTTAGTGTTAGTGAGTTAGTGTTAGTGAGTTAGGGTTAGTGAGTTAGTGTTAGTGAGTTAGTGTTAGTGAGTTAGGGTTAGAGTTAGTGAGTTAGTGTTAGTGAGTTAGGGTAAGTGAGTTAGGGTTAGTCAGTTAGGGTTAGAGTTAGTGAGTTAGTGTTAGTGAGTTAGGGTTAGTGAGTTAGGGTTAGTGAGTTAGGGTTGGTGAGTTAGGGTTAGTGAGTTAGTGTTAGTGAGTTAGGGTTAGTGAGTTAGGGTTAGAGTTAGTGAGTTAGTGTTAGTGAGTTAGGGTTAGTGAATTAGGGTTAGTCAGTTAGGGTTAGAGTTAGTGAGTTAGTGAGTTAGGGTTAGTGAGTTAGGATCAGAGTCAGTGGATCAGACCATCACAGTCTGGAGCCACCGACATGAAGGAGGTTTAGTGTCGTAGCTTTAAAGCTGAGGTACCTAACTTTCAAACAGCACCATGTGGGCGACACCATGTGGGCAGCGCTTGTGCTTCTCAAGAAGAAGGTCCTGGGTTTGATTCCTCCTCCAGCGCAGATTGCATGTTCTCCCCGTGTCTGAGTAGGTTTCCTCTAGGTGCTCCGGTTTCCACTAAAACCATGTATTGTGTGTGACGAGACACACACACATACACACACACAGACACACACACACGCACACACACAGACACAGACACACGCACAGACACAGACACAGACACACACACACACACACACACACACACACACACACACACACACACACACACACACACACACACACACACACACACACAGACACAGACACAGACACAGACACACAGACACAGACACACACACACGTCTTCGGGGGGACATGGCGTGTAGAGATAAGCCTATAGAAGGCTGTGCTGTGGTTAGCCGTGCTGCTAATCTCAAGTGAAAAGAGAGTGTACGCCACCCACGCAGCGTGCACAGATTTCCACGCTCTGTGAACACATGCATACTGTCATTATCACTGTGTGTGTGTGTCTATATGTGTGTTTGTGTGTGTGTATATATATGTGTATGTAAGTATATGTGTGTGTGTCTATGTGTGTGTGTGTACCTTCAGATGTGTGCTTTCAACCATAAACTAAACTTGTTCAAACCTATTCTTATCAACTATGAACCAAAGTCCTTCCCATTTGTCTGACATTAATAATAACAATAATAATAATAATAACAATAATAATAATAATAACAATAATAATAATAATACAATAATAATAATAATACAATAATAATAATAATAACAATAATAATAATAATAAAGAAACCCATAGTCTCTGCTTGCTTCATGTACGTGTGCTTCATCTTCACACGTTTTTAATGACCACGATGAATGTTTTGGTCTCACTCCATCTGTGTTTGGCCTCACGCCTCGACCAGAGTGAGACCAGAGAGAGACCAGAGAGAGACCAGAGAGAGACCAGAGAGAGACCAGAGAGAGACCAGAGAGAGACCAGAGAGAGACCAGAGAGAGACCAGAGAGAGACCAGAGAGAGACCAGAGAGAGACCAGAGAGAGACCAGAGAGAGACCAGAGAGAGACCAGAGAGAGACCAGAGGGAGACCAGAGGGAGACCAGAGAGAGACCAGAGAGAGACCAGAGGGAGACCAGACGGAGACCAGATGGACTGTGTCCTTGGAAACATTTGCGTCTCCTTTTAGTAAAATTTCTTGGATTCAGAGGACGTCCTGTTGCATAAGTCTGGGGGCGTTAAAACTTATGCAAGACCATCTGAGTCCTGTCTCTGAGTCCAGGACTAAACCAGGACTAAACCTCATGAGAGCTTCATCATCATCATCATCGGCAACAGCAGCTCGTGTGAATGGATTTCCCATAATGCCCTGTTCTCACTGTGAGGAGCGCTGCAACACTGGAACACTGTCAGTCTCACATTTTCAGGAAGACGGTCCCTGAGCCGCTGCCTCCTCCATCATGAGGGTCTGATTACACACACAGAGACACGGCAGTAACACAACAGGACACACGCAGACACACACAGAGACACAGCAGTAACACAGCAGGACACACGCAGACACACACACACAGAGACACAGCAGTAACACTACAGGACACACGCCGACACACACAGAGACACGGCAGTAACACAACAGGACACACGCAGACACACACACACAGAGACATGGCAGTAACACAACAGGACACACGCCGACACACACAGAGACACAGCAGTAACACAACAGGACACACGCCGACACACACAGAGACACGGCAGTAACACAACAGGACACACGCCGACACACACAGAGACACTGCAGTAACACAACAGGACACACGCAGACACACACACAGAGACACGGCAGTAACACAACAGGACACACGCCGACACACACAGAGACACAGCAGTAACACAACAGGACACACGCCGACACACACAGAGACACTGCAGTAACACAACAGGACACACGCAGACACACACACAGAGACACGGCAGTAACACAACAGGACACACGCCGACACACACAGAGACACGGCAGTAACACAACAGGACACACGCCGACACACACAGAGACACTGCAGTAACACAACAGGACACAAGCAGACACACACACAGAGACACGGCAGTAACACAACAGGACACACGCCGACACACACAGAGACACGGCAGTAACACAACAGGACACACGCAGACACACACAGAGACACGGCAGTAACACAACAGGACACACGCAGACACACACAGAGACACGGCAGTAACACAACAGGACACACGCAGACACACAGACACACACACACACACAGCCCTCAGTCCTGCTCCGTTGTTGTTTATTGCAACAAATTCGAAGAGTACAGTGGAACCCTACAGACCTGTGTCCTCCTGGTCCTCCTGGTCCTCCTGATCCTCCTGGTCCCCCTGGTCCTCCTGATCCTCCTGGTCCCCCTGGTCCTCCTGGTCCCCCTGATCCTCCTGGTCCCCCTGGTCCTCCTGGTCCCCCTGGTGCTTCTGGTCCTCCTGGTCCTGACCCCTGTGCTCTCCTCCTGCAGGTGCAGTGCAGCAGAGACACATGCGACTCGTCTGAAAAGAAGCAAACATGGACTTTGTGATGAAGCAGGCTCTGGGAGGTACGTGTCTCTCTGGTCTCTCTCTCTGGTCTCTCTCTGGTCTCTCTCTGGTCTCTCTCTGGTCTCTCTCTCTGGTCTCTCTCTGGTCTCTCTCTGGTCTCTCTCTCTGGTCTCTCTCTGGTCTCTCTCTCTGGTCTCTCTCTGGTCTCTCTCTGGTCTCTCTCTCTCTGGTCTCTCTCTTGGTCTCTCTCTGGTCTCTCTCTGGTCTCTCTCTGGTCTCTCTCTGGTCTCTCTCTGGGCTCTCTCTGGTCTCTCTCTCTGGTCTCTCTCTCTGGTCTCTCTCTCTCTGGTCTCTCTCTGGTCTCTCTCTCTGGTCTCTCTCTCTGATCTCTCTCTCTGGTCTCTCTCTCTCTGGTCTCTCTCTGGTCTCTCTCTGGTCTCTCTCTGGTCTCTCTCTGGGCTCTCTCTGGTCTCTCTCTCTGGTCTCTCTCTCTCTGGTCTCTCTCTGGTCTCTCTCTCTGGTCTCTCTCTCTGATCTCTCTCTCTGGTCTCTCTCTGTCTGGTCTCTCTCTGGTCTCTCTCTCTGGTCTCTCTCTGGTCTCTCTCTGGTCTCTCTCTGGTCTCTCTCTCTCTGGTCTCTCTCTGGTCTCTCTCTCTGATCTCTCTCTCTGGTCTCTCTCTGGTCTCTCTCTGGTCTCTCTCTGGTCTCTCTCTCTCTGGTCTCTCTCTGGTCTCTCTCTCTGATCTCTCTCTCTGGTCTCTCTCTGGTCTCTCTCTGGTCTCTCTCTCTCTGGTCTCTCTCTGGTCTCTCTCTCTGATCTCTCTCTCTGGTCTCTCTCTGGTCTCTCTCTGGTCTCTCTCTCGCCCCTCCCCCTCTCCTCCCCCCCTCCCACAGATAGATTTTTGCTGGCCACAGATTGCATTCAGAGTTAGTTTAATTAGAGTGAGATTGATCCAGTGACGCTCAGAGAAACAACAGCACCAACACCAGAACCAGCACCAGCAGCAACACCAACACCAGCACCAGCACCAACACCAGCACCAACACCAGAACCATCACGAGCACCCCAACACCAACACCAGAACCAGCACCAACACCAGCAGCATTGGCTAGCTACTATAGCTAGCTGCTAAGGCTAACAAACATGATCTTTATGGAGGGTTGGAACAAAGCAATAACCTGAGGTTTCATTTCCTCTTCTCTGGAAAACCTCCAGTTTTATCGTCTCTGTTTTTCTCATAAAGTAATGAAAGATATCGCAGAGATAAAAACAGCAGCGGGTCACCGCTTCCTCTGAGTCTGTGATGTCACACCTTCTCAGAGAGTTGACTGTGACTCAGTAAAAACAGAAAACCATCTCATTTAAAGAAGACACATGTGTTTAGACCCATCCATGCTCATGTGAGGCTCCGCCCCCTCTGCAAACTCAGGCTCGAGGGCCAAACCCGGCCTCCTGACAACGTTCAGTGGTCCCTGAAATGATATTAATCATTATTAATGACTTATTATTCATTTGCTCCACATACTGCTCTGTACCTGGAGATGCAACACTGACATTTCCCCACAGTGGGACCCGTAAAATGTTGTTTTATTTCATCTATTTTAATAGGAAAATTACTTTCTCTAAAAGTTTAACAGAACACAACATTATATCCATCCATCCATCCATTTTCTTCCCCTTAATCCATTTCTGGGTCAGGGGGGTGGCAGTCAGAGCTGCACCCAGTCACAAAGCACCAGCCCCTCACTGATCCTCCTGCAGGTGCTGAGTCCACAGGAGCTGAGATCGTTCAGCGGAGGATTTGGGCAAAGTGGGGTTAAGTGTCTTGCCCAAGGACACAACGACAGCAGTCATCAGTGGGAGTCGTGAAGTAGGTCTTATGGTGGGCTTGAACCCACGACCTTCAGGCCCAAAGGCCAATGCTCTACCAACTGAGCTACTGTCGCCCCCTTATAATGTTAAATAAAACATTATACGTTTTATTATAAGTTAAATGAAAACAAATCAGTAAACCAACGCAGACACGGGGAGAACATGCAAACTCCACTCAGGAAGGCCCTGTTCTGAACGGGATTCAAACCCGGAACCTTCTTGCTGAGAAACGAGAGTGCTAACCACTCAGCCACTGTGCTGCCCAAGTCTGACCTTATGCAGGCATCTGACCAATCAGAAGGCATCTGACCGACCAATCAGAGGCCTTCATTCACAGCAGAAACTCCAGCTTCCCTTAGCAACAGTTTTAACCGTGAACAGAAGGAAACTGCTCCAGCTCACGCTCAGTGACATCACACTCTGTGACATCACTGTCTGTGACATCACACTCTCTGTGACATCACACTCTGTGACATCACACTCTGTGACATCACACTCTGTGACATCACTCTCTGTGACATCACTCTCTGTGACATCACTGTCTGTGACATCACACTCTGTGACATCACACTCTGTGACATCACACTCTGTGACATCACACTCTCTGTGACATCACTCTGGGTCAGTGACATCACAGGTGAGTTCACAAACACTCGAGAATACATCTTGTCCCGCTCCCGCCAACCCTTTTCGAGTAGAACATCTAGGTGTTCAAGCCAATCACGCGCCAGGGGGTTTAGGGCGGGATATGCCGGTTTGACGAAAGCAAGAAGTGCCGGGCCGAAGCAAAACAAACATGGCTACGCAGGAGGACGGATGCGTAGCTGAGGCTATCAAGTCAGTTTTAGCAGAATCTCCAATTTCTTTTTTGAAAGATGAACAGCGAGAGGCGCTTTGTGCATTTCTGGACGGCAAAGGTGTTACCGGGATTGGTTTAAGTCAACCCTTAGGCGGGCACACAGCGTCACTTCGACCAATCAGCTTGAAGTATTCTGCTGCTTATCCCTCCTTTCCCCGAAAGGATTCTCCTGCAGAAGTCCCAGATTGATATTGTGGAGAACGCATTAGAGTTCTACACAATCATCAATCTGGCTCTTGCCAGGTCTATGGACTCTCAGTGAGCATGGCTACAGCTAAACACAACTCCAGGTCTGTGTTTGGATGAGGGGCCTTTTTTACTTTTTTGGAGAAAACTCGTCTTCATCACCTGCTCGTCTTCATCACCTGCTCGTCTTCATCACCTGCTCGTCTTCATCACCTGCTCGTCTTCATCACCTGCTCGTCTTCATCACCTGCTCGTCTTCATCACCTGCTCGTTACTCGGACTCAAAATGTTCCTAAATATGTGTCTTTAAATCTATGTATCTCTCAATTCAACCACATTTATCCACATTTATCTACATTTATCTACATTTATCTACATTTATCTACATTTATCCACATTTATCTACATTTATCTACATTTATCTACATTTATCTACATTTATCCACATTTATCTACATTTATCTACATTTATCTACATTTATCTACATTTATCCACATTTATTTACATTTATCTACATTTATCTACATTTATCTACATTTATCCACATTTATCTACATTTATCTACATTTATCTACATTTATCTACATTTATCTACATTTATCTACATTTATCTACATTTATCCACATTTATCCACATTTATCCACATTTATCTACATTTATCTACATTTATCCACATTTATCTACATTTATCCACATTTATCTACATTTATCTACATTTATCCACATTTATTTACATTTATCTACATTTATCTACATTTATCTACATTTATCCACATTTATCTACATTTATCTACATTTATCTACATTTATCTACATTTATCTACATTTATCTACATTTATCCACATTTATCCACATTTATCCACATTTATCTACATTTATCTACATTTATCCACATTTATCCACATTTATCCACATTTATCTACATTTATCCACATTTATCCACATTTATCCACATTTATCTACATTTATCTACATTTATCTACATTTATCTACATTTATCTACATTTATCCACATTTATCCACATTTATCCACATTTATCCACATTTATCTACATTTATCCACATTTATCCACATTTATCCACATTTATCCACATTTATCTACATTTATCTACATTTATCTACATTTATCCACATTTATCCACATTTATCCACATTTATCCACATTTATCTACATTTATCCACATTTATCCACATTTATCCACATTTATCCACATTTATCCACATTTATCTACATTTATCTACATTTATCTACATTTATCCACATTTATCCACATTTATCCACATTTATCCAGATAAACACTGGTCTCTGTTTTTATGACCGTGACGCGGTGATAAAACGTGGCGTCCGTGAGTCCAGCCTTAATGTGCAGCTCGTCAGACGCTCCATTAGCGAGACGGTGATTTAGCTCAGTCATTAACCCCAGAGACCAAGACCCAAGCCCAGACCCAGAGACCAGACCCAGAGACCAGACCCAGAGTCTCAGAGACCCAGGCCCAGACCCAGACCCAGAGACCCAGGCCCAGACCCACAGACAGAGTCTGTGTCTGACTTGGTCTGTGTCTGACTTGGTCTGTGTCTGACTTGGTCTGTGTCTGACTTGGTCTGTGTCTGACTTGGTCTGTGTCTGACTTGGTCTGTGTCTGACTTGGTCTGTGTCTGACTTGGTCTGTGTCTGACTTGGTCTGTGTCTGACTTGGTCTGTGTCTAACTTGGTCTGTGTCTGACTTGGTCTGTGTCTGACTTGGTCTGTGTCTGACTTGGTCTGTGTCTGACTTGGTCTGTGTCTGACTTGGTCTGTCCTCTGTGAGGATCATTAACCTCAGACTAACGAGGCTGAGCAAGGTCAGGAGCCGCTCAGTGACACTGTCTGAATAATATATTATAATATATAATAATTATACATATATAATTCATGGGTCTTCAGGAGGTGGAGGCTGGAGCGTGTGGAGACGACTGATTCCCTCGAAGAGAAAGTGAAGGATGAGGGTTTTATTATAACTTTATGATAAATTAAATTCTGATTTCAGTTTGATAAATGTCATGTTTCCATCGACTCATATCTCACTGTTTCACACCGAGCTCAGGGACCACTGCTGCTAGATTAGCACTGCTGCTAGATTAGCACTGCTGCTAGATTAGCACTGCTGCTAGATTAGCACTGCTGCTAGATTAGCACTGCTGCTAGGTTAGCACTGCTGCTAGGTTAGCACTGCTGCTAGATTAGCACTGCTGCTAGATTAGCACTGCTGTAGATTAGCACTGCTGCTAGATTAGCACTGCTGTAGGTTAGCACTGCTGTTAAATATGGTCTGTGCCTTTGGGCAACACACTTCTCCGTCTCAGTCTGAACTCTGTCTGTAGCGCTGGGTTCAGGACACACAGGTCTGTCTCATCACTGCTCAATCAATACTGTGTGTGTGTCTGTGTGTGTGTCTGTCTGTGTGTGTGTGTGTGTGTGTGTGTGTGTCTGTGTGTGTCTGTGTGTGTGTCTGTGTGTGTGTCTGTGTGTGTGTGTGTCTGTGTGTGTGTCTGTGTGTGTGTCTGTGTGTGTCTGTGTGTGTGTGTGTCTGTGTGTGTGTCTGTGTGTGTGTCTGTGTGTGTGTGTGTGTGTGTGTGTGTGTCTGTGTGTGTGTGTGTGTGTGTGTGTGTGTGTGTGTGTGTGTGTCTGTGTGTGTCTGTGTGTGTGTCTGTGTGTGTGTGTGTGTATGATGCAGGAGCCACCAAAGACATGGGGAAGATGTTGGGAGGAGAAGAGGAGAAGGATCCAGACGCCGCTAAGAAGGAGGAGGAGCGGCAGGAGGCGCTGAGGCAGCAGGAGGAGGAGCGCAAGGCCAAGCACGCTCGGATGGAGGCGGAGAGGGAGAAGGTCCGACAGGGCATACGGGACAAGGTACCTGCGCTACAGAGAGACAGGAGAGCACAGGGACAAGGTACCAGCAGCTACAGAGAGAGACAGGAGAGCACAGGGACAAGGTACCAGCAGCTACAGAGAGACAGGAGAGCACAGGGACAAGGTACCAGCAGCTACAGAGAGAGACAGGAGAGCACAGGGACAAGGTACCAGCAGCTACAGAGAGACAGGAGAGCACAGGGACAAGGTACCAGCAGCTACAGAGAGAGACAGGAGAGCACAGGGACAAGGTACCAGCAGCTACAGAGAGACAGGAGAGCACAGGGACAAGGTACCAGCAGCTACAGAGAGAGACAGGAGAGCACAGGGACAAGGTACCAGCAGCTACAGAGAGACAGGAGAGCACAGGGACAAGGTACCAGCAGCTACAGAGAGAGACAGGAGAGCACAGGGACAAGGTACCAGCAGCTACAGAGAGAGAAAGGAGAGCACAGGGACAAGGTACCAGCAGCTACAGAGAGAGACAGGAGAGCACAGGGACAAGGTACCAGCAGCTACAGAGAGAGACAGGAGAGCACAGGGACAAGGTACCAGCAGCTACAGAGAGAGAAAGGAGAGCACAGGGACAAGGTACCTGCGCTACAGAGAGACAGGAGAGCACAGGGACAAGGTACCAGCAGCTACAGAGAGAGACAGGAGAGCACAGGGACAAGGTACCAGCAGCTACAGAGAGACAGGAGAGCACAGGGATAAGGTACCAGCAGCTACAGAGAGAGAAAGGAGAGCACAGGGACAAGGTACCAGCAGAGACACAGAGAGAGAAAGGAGAGCACAGGGACAAGGTACCAGCAGCTACAGAGAGAGAAAGGAGAGCACAGGGACAAGGTACCAGCAGAGACACAGAGAGAGATCACAGGGTTTGTACCATAGACTGTAAATGTACAGGTGTGATCGCTGCCTTTTCAAAATGGCCGCAACAAGCCCCTCCCACAAGAACATTGTGAAAAAACCCTTTCTCAGAGGAGGCTGATTCCTTTGCGCACGAGCCTGACACATGGTGTTCATTTACCGCGTACATTCTAAAGTCCCAAAGTAAAATCCCCTCCAGCGTTGATAGCATCTGGGACATGGCGTTGAGTCAAGAGTGACTTTTGGTCCATCCTCTGAAGCTGTTTTCCAGATGAAAAAAGACGCCATGAGAATGTATAGGATCATTCTGTTTCCGGGTACACCCCCACCAACAAAGAGCCAGCGCTCACAGAACTAATGAGCCTGGAGCCCTGAGTGTTGTTGTCTGAAACGTCTCAGTGTGTGGCGTGTCTGTGGTGTGTGTGTGTGGCGTGTGTAGCGTGTGTAAAGTAGAGTCCCAGCAGGAGGCCAGTATATACTGTATATATATATTAACAGTATCTGGTGTCGTCCTTAGTACGGGCTGAAGAAGAAGGAGGAGAAGGAGGCGGAGGAGAAGGCGGCCCTGGAGCAGGCGTGTGAGGGTTCACTGACACGCCCTAAAAAGGCCGTGCCCAAAGGCTGTGGCGACGAAGACGACGAAGACGAGGAGAGCATCCTGGACACCGTGCTCAAGTTCCTGCCTGGCCCCCTGCAGGACATGTTCAAGAAGTAACCACAGCAACAGGACCACGGCGAGGAGAGACGGCGACATGGCGAGGGGTCCGACCTCAGTGCGTACTCCGCAGTTAGGGCTGTCATTACCACGTCCGATCCACCGCAGGTTCTAATGAGTTTGTTTGTTTAGACGCCGCTACAGGTCAGAAAGAAGTCAATAACTGCCTAAAGACGCTTGTTTTAGTTTACTCTGGAGAGAAAAGCTCCCGCAAACTCTTTTCAAGGTTTCCAAGATGGTGTTCATGCTCAAAGTTAGCCGCAGCGGAAGTTAGCGGCCGTGTTAGCATTTTGGCTAGTTATGGTCTAGTGCTACCTCCACGATGCTTTATACAAACCATTACATAAAGAGAGAGAGGCAGAGAACGACCGTAAGAAAGAATTGTTTATTTATTTTGCGGGAGACTTTTCTTTCCATAGTCTCAAAAGTAGAACCACATTTATTATTTCTTGTTGTGGATCAAGTTGTAGAAACATCTTAAACAAGTCAAATCTCATTAAAACCAAAACCACTGAACTGCTGAAGGTGAAGGGCTGATGATAGTTTGTTATGACTCTTTCAGGACTCTTTTAAATATTATAAAAACATTCACAAATATATAAATAATACTTCTACAAAGACAAGAAGAATTAAAAAAAAAGGTTGCCATTTATTATCGATTCGCCAACAGCAGATCAGCGAATCAACCGGTTACAACATGAATTCTGGACACTTTAGACATCTCAAACCTAGCGATCGGTGGTGTTTTTGTCTGACCTGAAGCACTGTAAAGCCTGGTTGTTTCTGTAGTGCACTTGGACAGATTTTACGGTTCCACTACGTATCATTTTTGCGGCGTTCGCAGCTGTGACTGTTATTGTGGAGGAGGAGGGTTGTTCCGAGGCTTCTCACTGCCTTCAGCTCTTTTCTACTCTCCCAAAAACACTCAAAACTCTTCCCTTTTGGTTCATTTCTCAAACTCATGCTTTGTCCACGCCACGTCCGGTCTCTGTCTACGACCGAGAGACGTTATTATTATTATTAAGTGTTTTTGTAGTATCCTCCTCGGTACACGTGCCTTCATACGGTCTGTCAGTGAGGGGTTTGCATGATTTTATTTAACTCAATTTATTATTTATTTTATTTTTTTAACATTCAGTCAAAAAGCAAAAGCATAGTTAAGATCTTCCAACATTTTAGACAATTTTAGTTTTTATTTCCCTGCTACTTCCGACCACTTGTGTGTGTGTGTAAAACTGCCAGCTAGCTAGACTGCCACCTGCTGGACAACAAACATATAGATCGTCACAGTCATTAATATACCTACGTAGTGACACACGCTACACGTCGCTTGGAATTGTGGGTAGTGTAGTGTTTTCCTCTTAGACAATCAAACGCATCGACCGCTAACTCGAAGGGGCAGTCCGTACTGTGTCGTGGATTAAGCTAATTCATGTTTACGTTCTTTTCTCGTTTACATGAATACGACCTCAAAGCAACGTCCGTGACTCTTTAGTAGAACTTTATTTACTTCACGCAAACAAACGGATGTGCGGCAAATTTGGCCTAAGCTAACGTTTCGGGCTAAGCTAACGTTTCGGAATAAGCTAACGTTTCGGGCTAAGCTAATGTTTTGGCCAAAGCTAACGTTTCGGCCTAAGCTAACGTTTCGGGCTAAGCTAACGTTTCGGCCTAAGCTAACGTTTCGGCCTAAGCTAACGTTTCGGCCTAAGCTAACGTTTCGGGCTAAGCTAATGTTTCGGCCAAAGCTAACGTTTTGGGCTAAGCTAACGTTTCGGCCTAAGCTAACGTGTGAATTTTATCATTGTCAAGACCAAAGATTAAAAAAACTGGTGGGATTTTATAATTTTATTGAAACAAAACAAGCATCAACCTTTCTTTAACCAGAATTGGTCCCGGTCAGCGCCGCAGACTGTCGTGAAGAAGGACAGAGGTTGGTTCAGCGTTTTGAAGAACACCAAGAATCTTCCAGGTCCAGGAGATTTTCCGGGTTAAAGACTGAATAAAATAATGTTGTAGGACAGCCATTCCCAAACTCAGTAACACCGAGGCCCCCTTAAAAATCTGACGGGTCTGCGTGGCCCCCCAAAATAATAACCAAGAAGACAACATTAAGAATAGGCTCCTCTGGTTATTTTATTTTGGGGAAATAGCCTCTGCTACAAACATTGTAATACAAAAATGATTACAGTGGATTATTCAAGTCAAATAATGAACACAAATATTTTAATATTGCAAACAAAACATTATAAATTTAACATTAAATATTTTTTTTTTATTTATTTTTTTTTTTTATGACCTCCCGCGGCCCCCCTGCAGTACCCTCGCGGCCCACCAGGGGGCCGCGGACCCCACTTTGGGAGACACTGTTGTAGGAGATAGTTCCCCTGTGGAGCTCGGAAAAGAGAAAAGTAAAGTAAAGTAGACATTTACTAGCATAGCCCGCACGGTGGCTACTAGCTTAGCTTTTGCTAGGAGTGCTTTATAACAGGGAACTTTTGAGTATAGTGAGTGCTAGCATTGTTAGTGCTAGCACATAGCATAAATGGTAAACAACATCTCACATACACACTCCATATCACTGCAAAAATGCGAAAACAAACAGAACTTAGAATAAATGAAGAAGAAATGTGGATAAATACCATGAAAACGTCCCAGCAGGGGGCGCTGTGCCTCCGTCCATCTTCACAGTCTGCGGCGTTCCAAAGAAAACAAACATTATTCCAACTCACGTTCGGGTCCTCAAACGCCTCACCAGTTTCATTTTAAACAAAACTGTTTCCAAACCATCGTGAACCGATCAAATACAAGCATCTAAATAATAATAATAATAACAACAATAACAATAATGATAATATAATAAAAGATATTAGTGACGCATGCTCTTCCGAAATCCAGAGTTTTTTCCAATAACGTCGTAACTAGGAACGACAAACGATAAATATATCACTTCCTTTCCTCTCTGTGTTGATTTTGTAGCGCGCAGGAAGTTCGACAAAGCCATATTAGGTCGCAATAAAACAGTTTCGTGCGTGTTTCCCTTCATCCTGTGACGCAGAGAGAAGCCATTGTTCTCAGTGTTTCATGTGTTCATGTTAACGTTTCGGGCTAAGCTAACGTTTCGGGCTAAGCTAATGTTTCGGCCAAAGCTAACGTTTCGGCCAAAGCTAACGTTTCGGCCTAAGCTAACGTTTCGGCCAAAGCTAACGTTTCGGCCAAAGCTAACGTTTCGGCCTAAGCTAACGTTTCGGGCTAAGCTAACGTGTCTCAGTGTTTCATGTGTTCAATGTTGTCCGTGTCCGGAAAGGAAAAAAACAAAATGGCGTGTTTGTGTCGTCTGGAGTTTTTTTGGATGTTCTCGTGTGGCTTTGTCTCGGCCGATGTAAAAGCATGCAGCGTTTGGTACAACATTCAACAAAGAAACTCTTAACGGAAAAAAAAAACACACAAAAAAAACACAGGCGAGGATTTCTGTCGGGCGGTTCGTAACTATGGCAACGGATAAAAGCGGTTGTTTTACACGGATGTGGTCCCGTCGGCGAGATTTACATAAACTACTGTGGTCCTAAGATACTGTTAAACAAAAGATAACAACAACATTAGTTTATAAAGTGGACGTTTATTAGACTAAAGACTTCCGACCATTGTTTTAATTACTTATTATTACTTTCTTTTTCTCCTGGTGCCATTTTAGAATCAACTTTCTGCTTTTGTTTTCCACTCAAAAATACTAATAAATCGTTTATTAGCAGTGGACTGTTGTATTAGCAGTGCTGACGTCATCCACAGTGTTTGCTAATAGCAGAAGGAACCGGTTTGAACTAGCCGAAGGTCGTTTAAGCTAGCGGGTTAGCATCGCCCACAGTTTTAAGTTTCAGACCAGGGCCAGAAATTGTTAACATGTTCAAACACTAAACCTGTGTTCAAGAGTTAGCACTTTAAACAAATTAAGTAATTGAGAAGGTAAAAGAAGATGGTCTTAGATGAAAAACTGTGAACAACAGCAGTTAGCAGAGAAGCTAATGAATGCTAACTGCTGCTAGTGAACAGGATGTTGCTATGGTAACCGGCCTAGTGGAAAACCAAAGTAGTAGTACCACAATATATTCTGGTGTTTTTACTCTGGTTTTAACACTACATTGGTCATTGGCTTAGCCGTTAGCTTAGCCGTTAGCTTAGCCGTTAGCCGTGTCCTTCGTGGTTCTGTGCGATCACGGCTTTGGTTTGTGCGACAAAAAGAAGAAGGAAGTCTGTGTGTGTGTCTGTGTCTGTTTGTGTGTCTGTGTGTGTGTATATGTTTGTGTGTGTGTGTGTGTGTCTGTTTGTGTGTGTGTGTCTGTTTGTGTGTGTGTGTGTGTGTGTGTCTGGTGTGTGTGTCTGTTTGTGTGTGTGTGTCTGGTGCGTGTGTGTGTGTGGTGTGTGTGTGTCTGTTTGTGTGTCTGTGTGTGTCTGGTGTGTGTGTGTCTATTTGTGTGTGTGTGTAAGTAAGTAAGTAAGTAAGTAAGTTTTTATTTATATACCGCCTTTTCACTGCAGATCTGAGTCTCAAAGCGGTTTACAATTGTTAATTTTTGGACATTTGTCTCTCACTCCACACAGAGATGGGAGCGGGGCCAGTACAGGAGGCGCATGCTAGAACTATTGGACATATTTTTAGTGGTAGGGGAAACCGGAGTACCCGGAGGAAACCTACGCAGACACGGGGAGAACATGCAAACTCCACTCAGAAAGGCCCTGGTCCGACCGGGATTCGAACCCAGGACCTTCTTGCTGAGAGGCGAGAGTGCTATCCACTCAGCCACCGTGCCGTGTGTCTGGTGCGTGTGTGTGTGTGTGTCTGTGTGTGTGTGTGTGTGTCTGTGTGTGTGTGTGTGTGTGTTAAACTCCCTCAGGAGACTGGACTTGTGCAGAAGTAAATGGTGTTAGACCAGTTTATAGTTTTTCATAAATTTTTAGCAAAATACTGAGACTAAGTTGACAAAGATCCCCGAGCAGAGGAAGTATTATTCATATTTAACAGTTTAACAGTTTAGGTAACGCAAGTTTATTTGTGTAGCACTGGGCTTAACAACACAAAACAGATTCTGCTCCTGCAGTCGTCTGAGGGACCACACTCGGGGCCACACTTCAGTGAACTGCCTCTGAAAAGGGCTACTACATTTATACTGTGTGTGTGTGTGTGTGTGTGTGTGTGTGTGTGTGTGTGTGTGTGTGTGTGTGTGTGTGTGTGTGTGTGTGTGTGTGTGTGTGTGTGTGTGTGTGTGTGTGTGTGTGTGTGTGTGTGTGTGTGTGTGTGTGTGTGTGTGTGTGTGTGTGTGTGAGAGAGACCAGAGATACACCAGAGAGAGAGAGACCAGAGAGAGAGACCAGAGATAGAGAGACCAGAGAGAGAGACCAGAGAGAGAGAGACCAAAGAGAGACCAGAGAGAGAGACCAGAGAGAGAGAGACCAGAGATAGACCAGAGAGAGAGAGACCAGAGATAGACCAGAGAGAGAGACCAGAGAGAGAGACCAGAGAGAGAGACCAGAGAGAGAGACCAGAGGGAGACCAGAGAGAGAGACCAGAGAGAGACCAGAGAGAGACCAGAGAGAGAGACCAGCGAGAGAGACCAGAGGGAGACCAGAGAGAGAGACCAGAGAGAGAGAGACCAGAAGGAGACCAGAGAGAGAGACCAGAGAGAGAGAGACCAGAGAGAGAGAGACCAGAGAGAGAGACCAGAGAGAGAGACCAGAGATAGACCAGAGAGAGAGAGACCAGAGATACACCAGAGAGAGACCAGAGAGAGAGACCAGAGATAGAGAGACCAAAGAGAGAGACCAGAGATAGACCAGAGAGAGAGACCAGAGATAGACCAGAGAGAGAGAGACCAGAGAGAGACCAGAGAGAGAGACCAGAGAGAGAGAGACCAGAGAGACCAGAGAGAGAGAGAGACCAGAGATAGACCAGAGAGAGAGACCAGAGGGAGACCAGAGAGAGAGACCAGAGAGAGAGACCAGAGAGAGACCAGAGAGAGAGACCAGAGAGAGAGACCAGAGGGAGACCAGAGAGAGAGACCAGAGAGAGAGACCAGAGAGAGACCAGCGAGAGAGACCAGAGAGAGACCAGAGAGAGAGACCAGCCAGAGAGACCAGAGGGAGACCAGAGAGAGAGACCAGAGAGAGAGACCAGAGAGAGAGAGACCAGAGAGAGACCAGAAGGAGACCAGAGAGAGAGACCAGAGAGAGACCAGAGAGAGAGACCAGAGAGAGACCAGAGAGAGAGACCAGAGAGAGACCAGAGAGAGACCATAGATAGAGATTTGCTTTACTAATTGACTTCATCTCAAAGACAGTGTTTTAGCTGAAAATATTATAAACGATCGTTCTGGAAGTTTCACGATCGACAAAAACCACAACTTACAAACCGTTGCCAAGAAACCGCCGCCCAATCAGAAAGTCTCTCTTTTCAGAAGTACAAATATAAAACAATTGTCCATAAGCTTAGGTGATAAAAGTACACATATGCAGGCTGTAGAAACTCTGCAGAGCGACTGGAGCCTTTAGGATCCACTGAGGACAGGTCCTGTTCGGGACGAAGGGAATGTTTACAAATCCATCCCATGATCCTCCACCAGGGGTCCCCCAAGCACTAACCTTTGGCTCCTTTAGATTTGAGAACTGAACTAGTGGGTTTTGGAACGTTAAATATGAAAGGAACCAACGCAGTGTATTTGTGTTGTAAAGACTTTCCAGAAAAAATATACTTGTTTATGGCAATTTATGCAGTATAATATCACAAGTAAAATTATATTTGGTGAAACAAGTCCGCCTGTAACTCCCTGTGCGGCCACAAGAGGGAGTGGGAGAGCAGTAGAATGTGCAATACTTTTGTTTTAGAAGACACAAACCTGCTCTGTGACGTCACAGCGGTACAATGACATAATACTCTCCCAGGACTGAGCATGGGTGGATCGAAAAACAACTCTGGGTCTGGTTTTGACGAAGGAACTCTGTTAAAACACGAAAATATCTCTTTCCGTGACGTTGTTTTGGTGAGATTTGGAGAGTTCAGAGAAGGTTGTGCTGACGTGTGAGTCCCTGGTGTCAGCATGGATGGAGCTGAACACCTCTCATGGTCTCGTACCATCGTCTCTTCCCTGTATTGACTGGTCCCGAACCCTGGGTCTGTCCCTGGAGCGACCGCGGCGAAACCTGCCACTTTTAAACATTCCAAACTCAAACTACTTTTCTTCACGATCCGAAGAAAAGACATTCCTTTTTCTTTTTGTATTTGCACTAATCATAGAAAATATGTTGTTGTTGTGACTTTTGCGAAATGGCATCAAAACTCTGTATACATTCCAACGATAGCGTAGATGCTAATGCTAACACATGCTAACCTCCCTTTAGCTGGAGTTGCTGGAGCGAGAGTGTCCCGCGCCGTGGCGTTGCTCTGAGTCCCGGCTTCACTAAACTGTTACGTTTACCTAATTTTCAGGTTTTAACTCATTTAAATATTATTGTTCCAGTTTTTTTGCTTTAAATGTGACTTCCAAAAAGAAAAAAAAATACAAATTGGAGAATAACTTCAACAATGTAACGCAGAGGGATACAACAAAAGAAAACTGTTATTTTTTTATTGAAAATGTGTTAAAAAAATGAAAATATTTTCCTTTCATTTTTGATCACTTTTGTAAAAAATCTTGTATTTTTCAACATTTTTCATCACAGTTTCCTGAAGCCAGATTCCCAGTGTAAAACTATAAACATATTATTTAATTTAAACATGGTCTCAGTGGGACGACCGAAGAAGAAGTCGGACAGTAGTAGTTTGACTGGAGAGACTTGAGATATTTGCTGTTAGACAGAAGGGGCGGGGGGATGTACCAGCTCAGCATGGATGGAGCTAAAAACACCTCCAGGTCATTCTTCATACATTTCGCATAAACCTCTTGAATCTAAGCTTTATTAATAAGTAAACGCTAAACGGTCTCGCCGCTGCACAGACCTGACCTGTGTCGTTGCCATGGAGACGGAAGAGTAACGCCACAAAGCGGGACATTCTGAGCCGCAGCGACGACGGGAACGTTTCAAAAGTGCACATTTAACTTTAGTACGAAATAGATTTTCCAAATAACGCAGATTTATTACGACGGGAGAGATCGCGTTTCTCTTCTTTCTGTTTTTCATTTTCAGGAGAGATTTTATAGAAATTGATAAAGTGAATTGTGTGTTTTCTATCTGGATCTTTGCATGTCCTACTCTGTGTGGAGCGCTTTCTGTTTGGGATAAACACATTAGCACCAATAAAAAGACACGTTTGTAAAAAGACACGTTTGTTTTTCTGTTGTCTGTTGTCATTTTCACCAAAGAAACCAGAGACCGTGAGCTTCGGCTACGGCTAAGGAAGTCTCGCCTGTGAATGAAGGCCTCTGATTGGTTCAATTTAATTTATTTTTGTAGAGCCCTGAATCAGCAGCAGTCGCCTCAGAGGACATTACGATTCCTCAAAAGCAGATCAGAAAAACAAACACAGGAAATACACACAACCACAGAATGGTTCAAAGGGAGCGGAGAGAACACTGTCCACAATAAAAGATCAGATAAACTTTATTCATCTCAAAACAGATAAACACATAAATAAGATCCATCAGAGTCTGTGAAAGACAAGTGGGTTTCAGTTTAGGGCCAAGTAACAGGCTTTAGAACACTTTAGAACACTTTAAACCACTGGATAGAACCAGAACCAGGGTCCTAAAAATAACCTGGTGCTGATTGAGAGGAGAGGAGGAGGAGGAGGAGGATGAGGAGGACTGAGGTCACGTGGTCACGAAGCAAAGAGAGTCCAAACATCAGTAACACCGCAGTGGACAGAGGCGCTGTGGCTCCCTCTGGTGGCCACATCTCGTCATCACATGTTTCTGCTGCAGTGGACAGAGGCGCTGTGGCTCCCTCTGGTGGCCACATCTCGTCATCACATGTTTCTGCTGCAGTGGACAGAGGCGCTGTGGCTCCCTCTGGTGGCCACATCTCGTCATCACATGTTTCTGCTGCAGTGGACAGAGGCGCTGTGGCTCCCTCTGGTGGCCACATCTCGTCATCACATGTTTCTGCTGCACTGGACAGAGGCGCTGTGGCTCCCTCTGGTGGCCACATCTCGTCATCACATGTTTCTGCTGCAGTGGACAGAGGCGCTGTGGCTCCCTCTGGTGGCCACATCTCGTCATCACATGTTTCTGCTGCAGTGGACAGAGGCGCTGTGGCTCCCTCTGGTGGCCACATCTCGTCATCATATGTTTCTGCTGCACTGGACAGAGGCGCTGTGGCTCCCTCTGGTGGCCACATCTCGTCATCACATGTTTCTGCTGCAGTGGACAGAGGCGCTGTGGCTCCCTCTGGTGGCCACATCACGTCATCACATGTTTCTGCTGCAGCGCGAGGGGGGGGGAGATGTTTGTTATCAGTCAGAGGCAGACATTACAAAGAAAAACAAAGGACAAAAAGTACATTTACGCTGAAAATGTTATCTACTGCAGACAGGAGGGAGCACGAGTCTGCTCTGTCCTGGATTAGTTTGGAACCGGGTTTAAAATAAGGACTAAGTCTAAGTTCAAGCTGAGGTATCCACCTTTAAATATATATATAACTAATGCATGTGGTTTGGTCCAACAGAAAGAGTCTTATGAACTTTGAGCCTTTTCAGACAGAACAGTGAAAAAACAAGACCACCTTCTGAGTCAGTAATCTCTCTCAGCCCAAAGAGTCAAATAGTGACTCCCAGGGCTTTCTTACAAGTCTGGGGAGATAACTGTTTCCTAGTAAGATGCATAACTGTGGTCTGGGTCTGGCCACAGCTGGGACTGGACTGAATTGTTGACTTTCTGCCTGAATGTTTAAAGGCAACTCACCCTCAAATCCACTTATTTTTTGCTGATAAACGGTATAAATGAGTGTCCAATAGTGGTGTCTACATATCTTGGTCATAATTTGGCACTTTGGTGCAAATTAGTTGAAAGTTAAACTTTTTGCCTAAAACCGTCTGTGAGGCGCCATCTGCTGGCGACCTGTATTACTGCATTTGAATTTTGAATCTGGCGCCAACACTGGCGCGGCAGCAAGACCTGACGTCTGCAAGTTGGACCCAAGCCCCGGCGATCCAAGATGGCGCCCTATTCAAATGAATGGTTGTGCTCAGTGGCGCTTTGTGACGGCACGGGGGCTGAAAGATTAGCGGAAGTCGCCTGAAACTCGCAAAGATCTATGGGAAACTCGCCTGTATTTGGGCATCGTCTGGTCCTCCCGGTTCTGCGCAGTGGATGATCTCCCATAATGCTTTGCACCAAACACGCGTGTGTGGGTCTCACACCGGGTCTCACGCACGTGCACAGAGGGGCTCGGCCGCGCTCTGACCAATCAGAGCAGTTCATCAGAGCGGGAGTTAGAGCGAGAGCCAGAGGAGCAGAGTTTGTGGCACTAAAGTGTGGATTTAAACAAAACCGAAGGATTTAAGAAGAAAAAAAGTTCAGGATGACAAGGGACACTAAAATCCCCACAAAATCCGACCTTTATGAAAGCTGTAGGTTCTCTGTCAGGTTCTCTGTCAGCTGAGGTTGAGCTGTTTTAATATGCATTGAGTTCTATGGGGAAAATTTCTGGGTATCTGAATTTAGTCTGGTCTAGTCTGCAGTACCGCGAGAATCCCCTGAGCACATGGGTTATTCAGCTACAAGCTGTAATACCCTATCCAGTTAATATAATACATCCATGGTTGGACCTGACGTCTGAAGCAAGACCTGACGTCAGCAGCCCCCCGCCCAGAGCAATGTAAACGGCCCAGTCTCGTTCACGCCCCCTTTAGTCCTCCAGGCCACGCCCATTTAGAGGAAGATTTGAACAGGAAATGTGAGTGACGTAAGCTCCGAGGAGCGGGGGTGAGAACCACTTTTTAAAGCTTACCTCCTTTAACTTGATTGTTTTTAAAGTTACATACCCCAGCTTTAACAGGAATAGGGACGATTTAATTTAGCAGAGGTTGCACTTTATCTAAAAAAAAATGTTTTCTAACTTCCCCAAAACTACATTATTTATTCAATCAATTCAACAAGTCTCACAAATCAGGAAAAGATTTTACTTTTGAGTGGTATAAAAATGACTGAGACTAACATTTGTAAATATATTAGTGTAAACATTTAGAAAGAAATAAGGATGAGTTCATGTGTTTTTGAAAAGAAAGTGGGTCAAAGGAAGAAAACTAAAAATATACAGTAAAAGTTTGTTTTACTGTCACTTTTACTGTTGTCAATAATTTACATTTTTCATCGTTTGCTTGAAATAAACTAGAAAAAAACAAAAACTAATGATTTCACTGCACAGAAAAACACAACACATAGATATATATTTTTATTTACAGACTTTTCAGGTAAAAGTAACATTTAAAATATTTACATATCTTAAAACAAGTACAAATCCATTTATTTACAACAAAAACAATTATAAATTCTCTGTTAAACACAATTATGTAAAACGCTGTATAATGTGCACGTAGCAGCAATAAAGTGAAAAAGTCTTTAAAAGAACAAACAAGTTCAAATACATTATTTTAAGGCATGTTTCTTAATATAAGAAACACTATGTACAAGCGCGGTATAAAAACACTGGTATAGTCCTTTCCAGGGCTTTTCCAGGGCTTTTCCAAGTTTTTTCCAGGTTTTTCCAGGTTTTTTCCAGGCTTTTTCACTACATATATCTGCTCCAAACTTTCAGGTCGTGAGGAATGATAAATGTTAAATCTATTGTTTATGGAGAAATGACAGAAGCTTTTGGGCGAAAACATATGTGTTAAATACGGTTGTTAGGGTCCTCACAGTGCAGGTCCTCATACTGCAGGTCCTCACAGTGCAGGTCCTCACAGTGCAGGGTCCTCACAGTGCAGGTCCTCACAGTGCAGGTCCTCACAGTGCAGGGTCCTCACAGTGCAGGTCCTCACAGTGCAGGTTTGCAGCTGCACTCAGAGGCCCCTGAAGAAGCGCAGAGACATCTCGTAGGTCAAGAACATTGTGGCGCTCATCGGGAATCCTCTGATGGCGTTCACCGAAGCCCCGCGGAAGAACACCTGCAACAGTCACATGACACATGAACACGGTCACATGACACAGTCACATGATGACACATGAACACGGTCACATGACACAGTCACATGATGACACATGAACACGGTCACATGACACATGAAGACACATGAAGACACATGAACACAGTCACATGACACATGAACACAGTCACATGACACATGAACACAGTCACATGACACATGAACACGGTCACATGACAATGAACACGGTCACATGACACATGAACACGGTCACATGACACATGAACACAGTCACATGACACATGAACACAGTCACATGACACATGAACACAGTCACATGACACATGAACACGGTCACATGACACATGAACACAGTCACATGACACATTAACACAGTCACATGACACATGACACATGAACACAGTCACATGACACATGAACACAGTCACATGACACATGACACATGAACACGGTCACATGACACATGAACACAGTCACATGACACATGAACACAGTAACATGACACATAAACACAGTCACATGACACATGAACACAGTCA